GAGGTAAGACTAACTGGCCTATAGTTTCCCGGGTCCTCCTTCTTCCCCTTTTTGAAGATGGGAACCACGTTGGCCCTCTTCCAGTTCTCCGGCACCACACCAGAGTACCACGAATGCTCGTAAAGCCGTGCCGGGGTCCTACAATGACCTTGGCCAATTCCTTTAGAACTCTAAGGTGGAGATCGTCCGGACTGGCTGACTTGAATACGTCCAGTCCCTCCAGAAGCTCCCTAACTAGTTCCTCACTAACCCTTGGCCCAGGTGTGCCTCCCCTGGGGCCCGAGGGGGGCCCAGCAGGGAGGTGGCTGTTCTGGTCCCTACTGAGGAAGACAGAGGCTTGTGAGGGACTAAAACATGATTTTGAATGCACCAGGAGATCTCTTGGGCAAGGGAGTATTGTACATGGTTACGTTTCTGGTGTTAACAGCAGCAGTGGCTAGTAGGTTCTTGTAGTACAGCAGCAAAGAAAATGCAATCTAAAAATTTAAAGAGCAAAGCTGAATAAATTGCTGATTCTGCCTGAAGCCTAATCTCTCAGGTAAGAGGCCCTACAGCAGTGGGTCTCAGCTTTTTTAGACTCAAGGCACCCCGGATAGTCTTGAGGCACCCCTCTGAAGATGCTAGCTCTTGGTCTTCACTCCTTTTTTGACTACAGAAAAATAATAGTTCTGTTGCAAAGAGCTCAGAAAGACCGCAACTAAGGATTTCTGTTTGAAATCTCTGTGTTTATTTTGTGAATTGTGTTTGCATATCTAACAGTGCTAACATAGTGTGGCATCCTGTGGCACACTTGAAAGGATCTCAAGCCACTCCAAGGTGCTATGGCACCCTGCTTGAGAATCACTGCCTTAGCGGAAGGAGGAGCTCAGAACAGGGGTGGGGAATTATTTCAGGTGGAGGGCCATTTACTGAGTTTTGGCAAGCCATTGAGGGCCACATGACAGGCAGCCAGGGGCAGATAAATATTAATTTTCTAAATTTTTTAGGTGCCACACGGGCCAGATAAAATGGCCTGGTGGACCGCATGCGGCCCGCGCACCGCATTTTGCCCACCCCTGGCTTAGAAGCTACATGGTTATCTGGAAGCCTTCTGAAGCCTTTGTTCCTCTTAATCTTTATGGTCATTGTCTTCAGTATCAGAGGAGGCAAATTGTTTCTTTTTTCCCAAAATGCCCAAATACTTCCATTTACTGTTGACACTTAACTTTATCAACATGTTACCTTTCTTGTGGTTAAATTTATAAATAGTAATCTTTTTGTTAAGGTCAGTTTACTGCTTTAATCTCCAATGTGCAAAACAAATTTAGTGACTATTCTCCTTGTATTTAAGATCAAAGCATATAGAGCACCCATTCTTAATTATTGCTAATGTCTGTTGTTAAACTTCTTATTTTTAGGTAACTATAGGTCGAGGATTTGGTCTCACCTACCAGCTAGTATCAAAAATCTGCCCGCTGATGATCTCTCGTAACCACTGTGTTTTCAAGCAGAATGAAGAAGGCCAGTGGACAGTCAAAGACAACAAGGTTAGGGTTACCATATTTCCAGGATCAAAAAAGAGAACACCTGGGGGCGGGGGGGCGGTGTGCTGTGCGGAGCCAGCAGGGCGTGGGGGAACAGGAGGAGAGGTATCTGATTGCAGGGGGGTGGGTGGGTAGTGATATGCCTGTGCCCAGCCTCTGCCCCTCACTCCTAAGCCCCTGCTCCCTCAGCACTGCCCATGTTCCTCACTCCTGACCCAAAGCCCCCTGCCCTCCAGCGCTGCCAGTGCCCCTCACTCCCAATCTGTAGTCCCCTGGCCCCCAGCACTGCTGGTGCCCCTTATTCCCAACCCAGAGACCCCTGTCCCTCTAGTCCTGGTGCCCATGCAGCTCCTATGCACATGGAGAGGGAGAGGGATGGACAGACAGACTCTTGCCTAGGCCCTGTGTGCAGAACACATGATCCCCGACCGCCAGTCACCTTGCGAGCTGTTCCCAGCCCCACGCATCCAAGCTGCTTGTGCCTGGAAGAAGTGGAGGCAAAACAAAAACTTAGACATTTGCTCGCATATTAAAAACCTGCCAAGACACAAGGACTGGAGGCCAGAAAAAGTGGGCATGTCCGGGAAAATCTGGACGTATGGTAACCCTAAACAAGGTATAGTGATTGAATGGGGTCTTAATTGTAGAGCGGGATTGAAAATAATGTTCGGTTTGGGCTGAGCACTTGCCTGACTTCAGGTAATCTCAAACCATGTAATAGAAGCCGTGGGACCTTGTGTTCCTTTAACATAGGCTTACCTGAGCTCTAGGGGGCTGAGTTTGAGTTGGGCTTATTCATATCTGCATTCAAGGGTTAATTTCTCTGTGTAGATGCTTATCTTTGACAGAACATTTTGAGACTACTGGATAGTGAAGTGGAGCACTGCTCCTCTGAATGGTCTAAAATAGCTTAGTTTAATGAGTTAAGGGTAACTCTGAAGCTTGGCAGCCTTAAAAAGGAAAATGCTATTGTGGTGTTAAACTGCTTCTGCTTTTTGTACTAGTCCAATAATTTTAGTCTTAAAAATGAGATGATCTCCTGATTGCAAACTGGCTTGTGAGGTGCATGCTTCTGATTTCGTAGAGAACATATGGCATTGTATGGTAAGCATGGAATGGGTTACCTGGAGAGGTGGTGGAATCTGTTACTAGGTATTTTTAAAGGCAGGTTTGAAGAGCATTTTATTCGGGATGGTTTAGATCAGTGCTGCTCAACCTTTTTGTGCAGCAGACCGGATGGACAGTATCTGGCATCTGGGGCAGGGGTGGCATGGCCCCATCCAGCTGCATGGAGGGGTGCAAGGATCCAGCCATACAGGGGACAGCCCCAACGTGGCGGGTTGGGGAGTGGTGGTGTGTGTGGCGGGGTATGACCCAGCCCTAATTCAGCCCCAGGGGAGGAGGCGGCATGGCCCAGCCCCAACCTGGCCGGGTGGCAGGGAAGGGGGCATGGCCCAGCCCTGCAAGGGATGTCAGGGGCAAGGCCTTGGCTCCACCTTGGCTGGGCAGAGGAGTAAGGGGCTGTGGCTCAGACTGGGGGTGGGGGAATAGGTTGGTCCTAAGCCAAGTGCACAGAGGGAAGAGGACCCTGGTCCTAATCTGGGCATGTTGGTTCAGGAGAGGAGGGTCATGGCTGGTCTGTGGTTCACTGTGTGGGGCTTGTGATTCTGGCAGCGGGGAGGGGTGGTAGTATTAGCTGCCACTGGTCTCCCAGCACTGAGTTTCCCGACCCATGGGTAGCCCCATAGGCCAGATTCCAAGGCTCTGCTGGCTGCGTTTGGCCCATGGCCTGGAGGTTGAGCATCCTTGGTTTAGACAAGGTGATCCTGATTTGATAGTCATTTCTGTTTTGCATTAGTTCTTTTTCTGTCTTCTGTCTTATTGCTTAAATTAATCTTGTTCCTAACAGTTGTGCAGGAAGCTGTTGCTGATTGCCTGAGCTAAATTTGTATGCTAAAATAGGATACTGACTTGGTTTAAGACACTGCAGAGCTGCTGAGAGAGAAAGAACTTGTTTTTCGTATTTTTTCCTGAAAAAGCACCATGCATTTGTTTGCTTCAATCAAAAAATAACTTGTAGAGGAAATTACATAAATGTATGTTGAAATTTTGCTGATACCTCTGTTTTCAGAGTCTAAATGGTGTTTGGCTGAACAAGGAACGCCTTGATCCATTAAAGGCCTATCCTATAGTTGAAGGAGACCATATCCAGCTAGGAGTCCCTCTGGAAAGCAAAGAAGCTGCTGAATATGAGTATGAAGTGATCAGGGAAGAATGGGAGAAAATTAGTCCACTTCTAGCTCCTAGAAATGACCAGGTGATGGGGAAATCTAAGAGCACGAGAACAAAACGTAAATTTAGCTTGGAAGAATCTGAGGCATTGGGAGTAGAAGGCCCTTCAAATTCCAGATCCAAGAGAGACAAAGTGCATAGTGAACCTTTAATTAAACCTTGGGAGATGACAGAATTGGTCAAACAACCTACAGAAAACATGGATCTCAAACTACCTTCTCCTGGAACAAGTGAGGAGGAGGAGAAAGCTCCAGTGTATTGTGGTCCTTTGCAGCCAGAGAAAGCACTATCCCTTGGCCATAGGGACCAGCAAGCACCTAGTCTTGCACAATCTTGGACTAGTTTGAAAATGCTGAAGAAAACCCTGGTAGATATAATGAAGTTGAAAGTCAAGGTGCAGGAGAAGCAGACAGCAGTCTTAAGTATGAAGCAAAAGAGCAGGAAGAGTGCCCGGAAGGAGATCATGGTGATGGAAAAAGAGCTGCAGGAGTTACAGGAGCAGTTATGCACTGAACAGGAGCAGCATCAGCAGAGGGTGGAGCAGTTGGAGAAGACGTTCTGTGGAGAACAACAAGAGCAGGAGGTACAGCAGGAGCTCTTTGTTCTGTGTTGTATGATGCCAAGCGTAGGAGTGGCCAGCCTGTGGCATACATGTCATAAGTGACATGAGCAGCCTGTGTGTGTGGCATGCAGTGGATTGTGGAGGAGGCAGGCAGCACGGTGACAGGAGGGAGCAGCAGGTTGGGCACAGAAAGGGGATTAGAGTGGTGCTCAGGGAGGGCACAGGGCTTAATTTGTGGCATACCTTGCCAAAAAGGTTGGCTACCACTGGCTAAACAGACTGGGATCCTTGTCCATAACAAAGGCTCCTACTTCTGCAGTTTTTAGAACAGGGATGTTATATAGTACCTGTTTCATCACTTTCAGACATATAGCTGTTAAATGGGTAATAGCAGGAAGGATTGGACTAGGCATGAGGTAAGGAATGGGGTAAAAAGCTCTTCACTTCTAAGGAAAGTTCAGAATTCATTATTGCCACCTGAAGGATTAATGGTCTGTATGAAATGAATATTTGACTCTGTCAGGTCCTTTATTCTGGTAGAGGTCAAGGATTGAATGAGTCATCAAGACTGGACTCTGTCCACCTCTAGATATAGGTTTCCAGGTCAAGGTTGAGATGCATGGAAAGCCCTTTCCTATTCCAGCAGAGGAACTAATGGGTACCACTGCTCAGAATATATTGATCTATGTTTCCTGAGTAGGTAGAGGAAGGTGGGATTAACTTGGAAATAGGGTTTCTTTAAAAAGTGCCTAATGCAGGGTGGATAAAAATCAGTGATTTTACAAAAAAAATTGGATTTTTAATTTTTTCTTGTTTTTTAAAAAAAAACTATATAAAATAGTTTTAATTTAAGATATGTTAGAGCTCAAAGATATCATCATTGACTAGGGATTATATCTTCTAATTATGTACTATTTGAGACAATATATTCATGTGATCTATTTATAAAACTTTTCTAAAAAGGTCACAACAGGCCATGGACTATATAAGGGGCCCAATCTTATGGGATTCCCAGAGGCTTCTCTATAGATTAGTAAAGTTTAAAGAAAACCACTGTACCCAATGGGTCTCAGTGCTCAGTCTAGAAGATCCCATTAAGCATCTCTGTGATGCTTAGTTTCACTTATCAAACTGTGGATTTGTGTCTTCAGAGATAACATCCTTGGGTGTTTATAGACGTGCTCTGGGAGGTAGGGGGGATGCTTTAATTAGCAAGCCATGTTAATTAAAAGCTCCTGAGCGTCATGTGCATCAGTGTTGCTGCACTGAAAAATGGCGATGGGGTGCTTTGAACGAAAGCTCATTGAACGAGCTTTAGTTTGAAGTGTCCTGCCACTGTTTTTCAGTATGAGGATGATGATACACATGACGCTGGAGGCTGCTGGAGCACGTTAATTTCTGCATTTCAGCAGACTCGATTAATTGAGTCTGTTTGAATGCACTGGATTTACAGCACGTCAGAGCAGCCTTGCTGCATGTCTATAGGAGCCCCTTGTTTACAGCAGTATATGGAGATGAGCAATAACAGACCTGATTACCCACTGATCAGCCCTCTTGTCTCTCTGCAAGTTTGTGTACACAGAGTCAAACCCTTACCTCTCTTTAAAAGTGCAAAGTTTCAAGGAGTGAAATGAATAAAGGATATCAAACAACAAGAATGCATGTTTTGTAGAAAACAAGGATTAAATCAAGGCTTCCTGACCCGTGAGTGATTTAAATCAATTTGATTTAAATCAAATCCACCCTCAATGATCTTCAAGTAAGTTAGGCCAGGATCTATTAAAATTTGACCATCAGCTGGCTGTTAGAATAAACTCTGGTAAACAGGGACACCTCTTTGAGCTTTTTTATAAGTACATTTAAAAGTCAGAGAGAATCCAAATGAATGGAGGAGCTGGTCCACTTGATAGTCTACTGCAAATTGAGATACTTTTGGTCTACAATGTAGAATGTGTATTCTAGGCTGCAGACAGAAATGCAGCTCCCTGCTGTAACTCGGAATGATTTCTGCAAAGTGTTCAGAGTTACAGTGTTACCCCAGACCAAATAGAAGTTCACTGTTCAGAAGTTCACAAGCTCCCAGGGAAGTCTAGCTGCCCCTGGGAGCTTGCAGCCAGGTGCCCATAGCAATGGCCAAACTGTTTGCCAGTTCTCACTGTTTTCAGAATGGAAGGAGATAAAGGCAGTGAAGGGAGCTTATTCTTGGGGCTCCCCAGCTACTGTTGAAGGGTGGGGTGGATGAACTGGACCCTCCCCACCTGGGGGGGGGAGAGGGGGCTGAAAACCCCCCAGACTGAACCCTCACCCCATCCCCTTTCCTTCCTCCCATTCTAAAACTAGTGACAGGCTGGAAGCTCTGCAGACATGAGTTACAAATGATGGTGCATGTTGTAACCTTTATCTGATACCCCATGCAATAAGGGGTCAGATTTTCACCCAATTGGCCATTTTTAAAGTTGTTTGCAGCTGTGCACTTGTTTGGTCACAGCTATAAACTGCTTTTTTGTGGCCATATCAGGCAAAAATTGTCACTTCTGTCTGCACCTCTTGAAATCTTGCATATTAAAGGGGAACCACCTTCTCTGCCAGTGCTGGAGGGAAAATACACAGCAGCAGCTAAGGTAGGTAAGAGTAGTGGTGTTGGTTGTGAATGAAAGTGCAACCTGAACAGTAAATATAAGTTAATTCCATCAGATTTGTTTCCAGTTGGAGCTAAAAACCTTTCCCTTTCCCCACGCAGAACCTATTGCTGCTCTTTTGTTGGTTCTTTGAACATTTCAGCCTGTTCTAAGTAAAATAATTTTGGGATGTTCAAGTATTGATATTCTGAGGGAGTGAAAATGCCTCTGTAGCTGGCTGGGATCTTATTAGAGTTTAGGAAACACTAAAAGTGAAATATATCTTGAGGTCTGCTGCACACTGGGAAGGCTGCCTTACTGTATCCTTTTTTTAATGTGTAAAGTTTGTCTCTTTCATTTTACCCATCCTAATACCTCCAGTTTATTTTTGATTATAGGCTTGTTACCTGTCTTCCAACAAAAAATCTTATGTTGCAGTTTCTTTTTCCAGGGAGTAAAACAGGAACAAGGGGACGAGAGTCTGAAGGAGCAACTGGCTCAAGTCTTGCAGGAGGTAAATTGGTTCAGCTGTGTAATCCAGAGCTATCTTAACTTTGCTTTCTATTCTGTTGTCTTGCAAGAAACCTGAGGACTATCTGATTTCATAGCCCATAGTAGGGATAGGTTCCATGTGTCATGATAACTGACAAATGCAGCAACGATGTGAAAAGACCCAAAAGGCACCAAAAGTCCAACACGTACTAAAAGCAGGACTGAAGGAAGGAGAGGATTAGAGCAAGTCAATTTCTAAATGTCCAGAGCTTCTGTTTTCAGCTGCTTCTGCAGTTGCTCTGTGTGTGAAGTATCTGTTTTTCTTCTGCTATTTCCCAAGGCCATGTGATTTGAAGGTGGGTGCTAGGGAACTGTTTGGGTCCAAGTGTAAGGGACTTCAGAATTCATAGAATCATAGAAAAGTAGGACTAGAAGGGACCTCCATTGATCATCTAGTTCAGCCCCTTGCCAGAGGCAGGTTCATCCCTATCCAAACCATGCTATACGAATTAATTTTACCAAGCACTTCCCTCATTCAGTCCAATGAATGCATGCTATATTAAAGTCTTGGCATCCTGAGTATCCAGCTCTTTAGCAAGTGGCTAAAGATGTTAGTGAGGCTACAGCAAATTTTGGGGTGGCTACAGCCCCCTCCTGTCCCCCCCCCCAATAGCCTCCTCCCAGCACCGCCGCCCACCCAGAGTGCAGCCCTACCCTGCCAGAAAGAGTCTGCCCCTCACAGATCCGGGGGCACGTGCCACACCCCCTCTGCCTCCCATGCCCTCCCAGATGAATGGTGGGAGCAGCTGCAGGAGCCCCCTTCCCCTTCTCCCCCACACCTCCCGGACGAGCTGTGGCTCCATCCTGTGCCTGCCCCACCCTGGCTGGGCAGCAGTTGCCCCAGCCCCGCTCCTCCCTCACCGCGGGGGCCTTGATCTGCCCACTCCATGCCCCTTCCCTCCCCCTTCCTCTTCCACCACAATAGACTAACCAGTTGCATGCAGCTCTCTAAGCTGCTGGGCTGTGCTTGCCACCTATGTGCTGTGCTGCAGCTGTGCGCGTGCACAGGCCACTTATTGGCTGTATCAGGCCGATTTCTGATGCAGACAATTTTCTTTATATCAGTGCCAATCTGATATCAGACCAATGTATCAGTGTCCCTCTAAAATATGCTATTATGCATTAATTAGCACTGCCTAATGCACATTTAATTTAATACCTCACATTGGAGGTACTAAATTTAATGAGCATTAGAAAAGATGCATTAATGCACATGTTGATGTGCCCACAGTTTTCATTTGGCTTTTAATTCTGCTTTACTTAGCATAAAGAAATATAGTGGTGTAGCCACAGTTCATGCAGCTGGGCAGACTCAGTAATAGTCCTAGTATCAGAATGGAAAATCCTCTGGGGTTTTAGGTTTATTGCTTTATGTGGAGGGACCTTCCTACCTGTGTGTTTTGCCTTTAAATACCAAAATAATGTGAACAGGACTGTGCTTCTGTATCCAGTGGTCCATATCCTTGAATGTAGGCAGGCAACTCTATCTCTCTGCCCTAGAAAGGATCTAGAATGTTTAGGCTCAGAACACAACTAGGCTCAGATACAGATTAAAAAAAAAAGAAAAAAAAAAAAGGAACTTCAGGCTTAATGTGATTACCCTTAGGGAGAGACTCTGGAATGTCTGTTAGGATTTAATTGCTGAAGTCTTGCTGGTGAGTGTTAATTGCTGGTGGGTGGTGCACAACTGCGATAAGATTCACCCACCAGAAGTCAGAAAGGTGACTTGTTAAATTAGAGGTATTCTGACTTGTTAAATTAGATGTCTACTCTCAGCCTCGTGCATCAATATCACATGTAAGATTTCTTTTTAATTGCATGAACCTGTTTTATGCTTAAGGCCTTCCTGGTTAGGCATTACTGTAATTTGCATCTTGCCCCCTCAGAGACTGATCTTGCTGATTTCTTATCTAATGAAGTAACTGACAGGCAAAAATGAGTGAGCTGAGCTGGCTGATAAGGAGCAGGTATGTTTCACTGATGCTAGTTATAACAAGAAAGTCTTTGCGTTTCTTCTATTTTTACAGCATCGCGCTTTGATGGAAGAGTTGAGCCGCAGCAAAAAGGACTTTGAAGAGAGAATTCAAGCAAAGAATAAAGAATTGGAAGAGACCAAGGTACTGAACAGAGAATCTGATTTCTGTTTGGTTTGTTAGTGCAACCTCATATGCTGCATTGGAAAAAACTGATTGTTCAGTATTATGACTAGACAGCAGAGGCAAGGTGTCTTGGCCAAAGATCCTTTTGTGAGGTGTCCCTGAACAGGCATGAGCTGAAGTTGCTAGGGCACAGAGAGAACGCAGATGGATGTTGCAAATGCCTTGCTCAACCCCCAACCCTGAATATCTGAGTTTGAAATCCGAAGTGTTTAACTTCCTGTTAAAGTTCATATAGCTAAAACTGCTATGTAATCCATGGGAATATTGCATCTGGGGCTCAAAACAGTAAGGAAATGCATAAAGAGAAAAATTGCCTCTTGCACTAAGAATGATGTGATAACTGAAAGAAATTGAGGAAACCTTCCACTGTACTTGCTCTAGATCTTCTCTTATCTTTGGATCTTTGTATCTTTTTTGGCCTTTTTCTGTAACTTAGAGGTTGTGTTAAATACAGGTTCAGTTGAGGAAATTCCTTCATGTTACTTAACACTAAATAGTATGCTTACCGCATTTTGATGATAAACAGCCAGTGATATTTCACTCTAAGCTGTCAGTCCTCTGGGCAACTGTAGTAGTGCATGGAAACATCTTGAATTCCCAGACTTTTACATATTTTCTGTGCGCCTGCATTTGAATCCTTTTGGCTGAATGTTCCTGCCAGTAGACCAACTTTCTGATCAAGGTTGTCTTGTGCAAAGTTCATCCAGGAATGAATGTTTGCCTCTGGCTAAAACTCCTAAGTGGTTAACAAGGGCTTGGAAGATGGTCTGGAATTATATGGTTCAGTTTGTAGTTTCTTTAGGTATGTGGGTTTTGAGTAATTGCTGCTGTTCTTTAACTAAATCATTCTTTTTGCAGCATATAGGATTATTGTCTGTATTCCTGTGGTTGCTGACTTGAAACCCTGCTCCTCTCCTTTCTTCATATGAAGGAAGGATGCAAACTCAGCATGAGAAAACTGTCAGGTTGTGGGCTGGGTCTCTTGCATTGACCACCGTACCATGTTCTCTACCAGCAAGTGATCTTGTGTGTGTTCTTTACAGGAGGAAAAAGAAAAAGTGAGAGCTCAGAAGGAAGAGGTTTTGAGTCAGATGAATGATGTACTGGAAAATGAGCTTCAGTGTACCATCTGCTCTGAACATTTTATTGAGGTATGTTTGCTGACAAGGTTCAGTTTTAAAGGAAAGGATTTAAGAAACTTTTTTTTTCCTCTTTGTCAAATCAAACAGTTAAAAATAATACCACTAGACCTAGGAAAATGTTCATATTGACTAACATTTTCTGTTCTCTTGTGAAGAGTTAAGCCATTCGCTACCCTGAAGTATACTTACTCCATTTTGTTTATTCTCTTGGCGTGCATGTTTGTAATTAGGATCACTGAAAGTGAGCCAGATTCCATCCTTAGATGGCACACCCCATTTAAAATTAAGCCTGAAATGTCGGTCATTCAATAGTGATGGGAAATCCTTGATTTCAATTAGGCATTAAAAATTTCTCTTCAGCATTGGAAAATTGATGCAACAGCTTGTTTCAGTGCCTGAGAATCAGACAGGAAATTGCCATCTAGTTTCACTATGGAAGTGCTGCCTGGCTGCTGTGCAAGCTAAGCCTCTCTCTGACCAAAATGATGCAGAAGCCCCCTGGCTCCTTAAGCCAGATAAAATGGCGCTGTAAATCACATCTGGCCTGTGGCCACACCTTGGCTTAACCTGTCTCTATCCTGACTTAAAATAGGAATAATAGCTGTTTACTGTGACTTGGGAGGATTTCATAAGCAGTGTCTCCTTCCCAGGCTGTTACTTTGAACTGTGCGCATAGCTTCTGCTCCTACTGCATCAATGAATGGATGAAACGTAAGGTGGAGTGTCCCATCTGCAGACGGGGGATAGAATCCAAAACACGCTCTCTAGTTCTGGACAATTGCATTGACAGGCTGGTAGAAAACTTGAGCTTGGAGATGAAAGAACGTCGCCTGGCCCTCATCAGAGAGCGCAAAGGTGAGAGGTGGGTGGATGAAGTGTGATGAGTTCAACCCCTGTTTTTGTGTTCATAGGAGAACTTCCTTTGGCACCTATATACTACTGAGAGGCTCAGAAAAAAATTAACAGGGAAACTAACATCAATCTTTCAGATGGATTTTTCAGTAATTGGGATGGGAAGCCATTTCAAAGGACATTATATAGCCTTGTAAAATATTTCAGGCAATACATAGCATGAATCCTATAAAACACTTGGAAAACATAAGTGTTGAAGACTAAATAGTTTCAAAAACAGATAATTGAACAGAGCAGGACCTGAAAAATTTACCAGGTACCTTCTAGTGAAATGCTAGATCTATGTGTAGATCACTGTGTAGGCTAATGGTGCATTATCAGTGTCCTGGTGAGAAGTTTGGCATTAACTTATATTTGCTGCACTTTCACAAGAGGATTTTGTGGTCAGCACTGGCTAGAGAATTCTGAAGAGAACACAGGTGCAGTACATGGCTTTGTGCTACACTTCCTTCTTAGTTGGTATTGAATTTTGGCTTCAGCATTAATGAGGCATAAAACCACGGCTCTTTTTACTTGTCATTAAAACACGTTGCATAAGAGTAAGGATTTTATGCCTGATGTCCTGCAAAATTCCAATGTGAGCAACTGGTCCACTTTCCTTTTTTCAAATTCTCTCTCTCTCTCTCTCTCCCTCTCTCTCTGGCTTCTAGTCACTGTAGTATCTGGGTGCTAAAATATAGCGGTTATTCTCTACTGCCCTTCTTAATTGCTTTTGTTGTATCCTTAAGACACTGCTTTGTTCTTCTGTAAAGGTGGGTGCATGATCCCTTTAATTTTTATAACGTGTAAAAGACCTTTGGGATCTTTCCTAATGAAAGGTGCTTTTCGAATATTTCAGATCCTCCTTGGTGAAATAGAGTGACATCACTAAACAGTGTCAGTTCTAACCTGAAAACATCACCTATTTAGCCAACTCACTCTGAGTCCCTCAGGAAATGCTGCACTACTCTCAGAGGCTCTCCAGCACTGCTTCCTGGATTGTTTTCATCTCTGCAGAACTGACACTGCTCAGGCATACAGTACTAATGTGCATCTCTGCAGAGTATGCCAAAGCACTGTTGAAGTGTCTTGTCAGGTAGCTGATGACTGGATGAAGTGGTGTCTTCCAGGGAACCCACTCCATTCCTGGATATGGTAAATCAGTGGTTCTCAAACTTATCTTCATGCTTCTCTCCAGTCGAAGGAAAATGAGCTCAGGTTCCACCTTCACATGTACCTGGACATCATAGTTGTGCAGAACAACCATTAGTTACTAAGGGATAGAAAGCTTGTAATAGTCACTGGCACACTTTAGTGAGGGAAGTTGACCTTGCTTTATCCAGTGGTGGGAAGATGGTTCAAACTGAAGCTGGAGGGACTTGACTTTCAGTTAAATATGGACTGTACCAGGGAACAGATTGAACTGAGGAATACTTATCTGTACTCTACTGGCCCCTGGAAACTGAGGATCACATCTCTGTGCTAGGCATTCCATGAGCAAGTAGCAAGAGAGACTATTCCTACTCCATCTTCTACTCAATTTCTAGAGGTCTGACTGGATTTTTTTATTGTTCCCCATGAAGTCCCCTTTCCCTCCCATCTTATTCCCTTTTGTTCCCTCCTCCTCTTGATTGGGAAGACCTTGAGATAGCCTTCTGTTGCCATTTCCTCTCTGAGTCCACACTGAGAACCATTTAAGATATGGAGAGTGATTCCTTGCCCTCCCTGCAGCCCTGCTGGAACTGAAAAAAACGTAGGAAATGTAAAAGAAAATCCTAATTCATATTTATTTTTAAAGAGTGTAAATAGAACAGACAGAAATGTCCCAGGCAGATGGCCCATAGTTGTAGAAACCTGCTCTAAAATGCACAGCCTGACAGTAAGAGGAGGCATTTAAAGTTTCCAAGAGAGCTCTAGCAATTGCACTGTCCACAACCTGGCTATCAGCTTACTTTTGTATTTGTGTGTTTTGAATGCAGAGAAGCAGGATATATCGGTGAACCCAGCCACAGACAGTGAGAGCAGCATAGTTTCTTCCATCTATTCCATCTTGTCGATGAGCAGTTATGATAGTGATGACTTTGAGGAGGACTCTGACTACGATGATAGCTACTATGTTATCTGAGCACCCATGCTATGGATTTGTTTGCCTGGGAGCCATGCAGAGCCAACACATGGGTGGTTGGGCCCACTACCATCAGAAATGAATGGCCTGGATTGGAAACAAAGGCAGTGAAGAGCCAGGAATGAAGAGCTGCAAACTGAAAGCACTGAACAGAAAGTCCTCTTTGTTCTTAAATGAATGTATAATTTCCTGACCTCTAAAGTACAAGTGCAATCATTGGGGTAACTGACCCTTTTGTCACACTAAGTAATAACGTATGCACCTACATTTCCATGATCACTTATGACCTGCTCAGTTAACGTTGTGTCCTAGTTTGACTGTGTGCAGTCAGACTGGGAAGTGACATCTGTTCAAGTGTATATATTGGTTGGCTTTATTTCTGCTGGTGGAGGGTATTTGAGCAGGCTGGCCATGCAAACAGCAGCGCAGATGTATGTCAAAGTTGCAAGTACCAATTTAAGATGGGGTTTCCTTGTTGGAATTTCACATGGCAGCTTGACTTGGCCTTGCCTTTTGACAGTAAATGGTATTATTTTGGTTGTGTCTGTACCAACTCTTTGAGCCTCCTATGCTTAGATGCACTGTAGGTTGTATTGTTTAATCTCTTACTGCTCCATTAAGATTGTTGATTTTTCTGTTGAGTAGATTGACTTTGCCTAAAGTTTTGGCCCTGACTAAGCTTGAATTCTGTTTCTTGCAGCACATCATCCTTCTCTCTCCAGGTTTTTGGGGGTGGGAAACCATTTCATCCAGAAAAGGCACACAGTGGAAACCTTGTATTGGTTCCTGCCAGCATTTTTTTTCCTCCAAAAGTGCTGCTATTTTAAGTTAATGATGCATCCTGTTGGCAGAGTAGGGAATCAGCATCCAGTGGGTAATGGCAAGGTGAGGAGGAAAGTAGAGTGTGTTTTGTCTTTTTACAGTTTCCAAAATATTGCTGCTGAATTGTGGCATAACATGAGCTTTGTAGCAAACCAAATTTTTACTGGGGGATGGAACACATGTTGCCTCATTTCAGCAAGCATTTGACTGTGAAGCTCTGTTTCCATTGGCCTATATACTTGATTTAATTTTGTTATCTAAAAGCTTTTCTTTCCCTATGGGGGAAAAAGATGGGGAGAACCTTTTTGTATGTAGTATTTGTTTTCTCTCCATGTGCATGTATTTTCTCGTTTATATACTTTTCTTGTTTCTAAGGAGGAAAAAATACACCAAGTTCTATAGTGTTGCCTGTTACAACTAGTGAGACAAATTTCTGGTAGTTAATCTAGACTCGAATGATCTGGACCCATGTTTATCATTGCTCTTTTTAATAGCTCTGGTTGAGTAGTGATAGAAACATTTTAGCCAAAGGCACTGTTTTTATGAATTTATTCTGAAAAAAACCTCATGCATTTGGGGATCTGTACAACAAATGTCACAGGTTATGCTGACCTGGATTGACAGGGACCAGTGCGCCAGTAATGTAAGTAAATATAGAAAATGTAGAACCTTTTAGGTTGTAGCATTCCTTCTTTTTTTACCTGATCTTAGTTTAAAGAAAAGTCTTATTACAGTAATGCACGCAGGGCAATGCTATGGCAGAAGAATATGTTCTTTTAACAGGATTTGTCTTATCAATTAAACTCTGACAAGGTCCAGATATCTGTTCCAGAATATAAGGTTTAAGCAGCTCTGTCCTCCTTAAACTTTAGTGGTTTCTCTTGTGGAGGAGTCACCCCCCTCTTGAGATTTCCCACTTACTGGTGCTCTTAACATCTGGTTTCTACCCTTCAGAGGCTTGCTTTAGTGCAGATCCTCTTGAGAAATGCTTGAGGTAGGTAGGTCACCAAAAGATTGTGAATGGTTGACACTGACCCTCCCTGGCCTCTTGTGTGAAAGTAGGAGATTTAGTTGCCTTCCAGCTTAGGAGAAGCTTATCCAGGGTTATAGATGTCTTTTACCAGGTACATATTTTTTCTATTATGATGATGTGTATGTGTATGTCTTTTTTTTTTTTTTGCTGGTTTCATTTTACTAAATGTATTTATTTTGCTTCTTTCCCATACCTGTCACTGTTTTAATTACATCTGTTGCAAAGTGGGTAAAATCACCTTTTCTGTCAATGTGTGTCATGGAAGCCATCTCCCTTAAAGCCAATTAAAGAACAATGTTAAAAAAGTAAGATGAATGCATCCTTTCCACCTTCCAATATCGTCAGTAATTCTCTTGGGTGTAAGTCAGTGACACTTGGTCTTGACTGACTTGGGAGCCGCTTGTGCACAATTAACCAAGGAGCCACAAATAGATAAACACCTCTAGATACACTATGGCAAACCCCCTCCAGTTCAAAAACATATAAAAATAAAACCTCGATTATTAGTGCCTGGGGAGTTCATAATCTACTTGAGTTTCCAGCCTGTTGCTAAATTAAGGCTGAGCCACTCTTGATTGCTACACTTCAAAGGATGGCACTTCTCTACTCCAGGTGCTTATTAGCTGTCCTGCATCTGAGAAGAAGATGCAGTTTGAAATAGGAGTTAGAGCTCATTAGTGGTCCCAGATAGCTATTTGCTACAGCTCTTTATTCTCTGGTTACTTCACAAACCCTCAGCTTAGCAAGGTGGTAAGGACCCTAACCCTGTGATGTTGTTGGATTCTTCTGTTTGCCCCTCATGACTGGCAAATTTCCAACACCTTAGCACTAGTGTATGGTCTTAGAGCAGTGGTTTTCAAACTGTTGTGCAGAGCATTGGGATATCACTAAGTCATCAGGGGTTCTGCAAACAGATTAAAGGCAATGGCAAAGCAGGCTGGGAGGTGGTGCGCTGCCATTACCAGGGTGGGTTACCCGGCTCAGTGTCAGCTTTCGTGGCTCACAGAGCTGGAGGTAGGGGTTTCACAGCAGAAGTGATATGAAAGGGTTTTGTGACTTCAGGGAGCTTGAAAACCACTGCCTTAGGGAGCGTTACATACACTGCACTACATGCAAGGGGAGTTGAAAAAAAAATTAGAATTTCCTGTAAAGAGTTGCAGATGTTTAGGTTACAGAGCCCTTTCCAGCTTTGGAGCTACCAGCTATTACTGACAGATGATCCAATGCCATAGACCAAGCACAGTGTGTAAGCACTGCTCACCCAGGTGTGTTTATTAATATCAAAATTCCTATGGTCACCTGCCACCCCCAGACCTTTAAAATGTATTATTGTTGTTCCAGGGAGCAGAACAAATAAAATGCAATGAGCAAGCATGTAAAAAGTTGACAAACTCCACCTTAGCAGAGCTCAAACAACCACTGTGGTATAGAAGCAGTATTACAGGTTCTTTGGATATGAAGACATAATTAAGCTTTGCTTGGTCTAGTAGGTATTAGGTATTACATTATAGCATTGACAGACTACACAGCGTCTACAGGAAAAAGAACGATCATAAATGCCATTGTATCCTGAATTAACCTACCTAGTGAATGTCCTTGGTAAACCTAAGCTTGGATGTAAAGTCAGTAACTAGGCAGTTGTTCAGCAAGATTATACCCAATGTCAGATCTCTACTGTGAGGTTATTTCTTCAGGAAGGCCATTTTCCATGTGCTTCTTACACACACACTTTATGGTACATAGTTATCACTTAATTCTTTTATATGGTAATATCCTTGATTGAGGAAGGAACTATAGTCATCTCAGCTCCAACAATCTACTGCCTGAACTTTAGTCTTCCACTGGGTGATTCTTAGGTAAGTCATCTGATTTGCACCTTGTAAATTTGCATTACCTTACAGGTAAGAATAAAGTCTTCTCCATACTGAATGTTTGTCAGCACTGATGCACTCAGTTTTAAAATGCCTTTAGGTTAGCTCCATTTCTACATGTCCTGTACCGTAGAATCTGGGAGTGGGACTTGACTTCTGAGTTACTGCTGGGTTGTTAGTGCACAAATTCTGGTCTGTCAATAAGGAGATAATGTACATCAACCTCTTTGATAATGTATTTCAGACTATCATTTGTAAACTGCCTGGAGATTCTTGCATGGCAAATGATATGGAGGCACATTGTAAAAACTGCTCCATATGGATGGGCTTCAGTGGGAGAAAATGCAAGCCTAGTGTGTGTGTTTTTTTTTTTTTTTTCCCTCTCCTCTTTATTCCCTGGCAAAGCTCAGAGTAGCCTTATTTAACTTAATGCATGTGAACCTATTATAGAGATGACCAGATCTGAGCAATAGTATGTAGGACTCATATTTTTCCCATGCATTTCTTGCTTTCCTGTTAAGTGCATGTGCACTACAACACAGATATCAGCAAGATAAAAAATTGTCAGAAGGAAACATAAGAGACAGCATCCCCAGGGCCTTCAGTGTTGTGCTGATGATCACTCTTATACTTTCAAGATATCCTTTCATCTTAGTGCACTGAGGCTTGTAGCCCTAGTTTGCATTGCAGTCCATCTCTTTTCTGCCCCCAAGACACACATGCCTTGTTGGCGGGCAGCTCAGTCACAGAATATGTTGGAGGCTTTCACAGATTGTAAGGGGCTGGAAGGGACTTCAGCAGGTGATCGTGTCCAGCCCCCAGCACCAAGCAGGAAAGACAACGGGGGATCAGGTGATCCTAGCAAGGTGACAATCTAGTCTCTTGAAGATTTCCAGGGCAGGCAATTGCACCACCTCTGGAGGGAGCTTATTCCGGTTTGAACACCCTGACTGTGAAGTTTTTCCTAATGTTGAGCCTGCATCAATCTTCCAGGAGTTTGTGGACATTACTCCTGGTTTACCAGGCTTCATAAAGCCTGTGAGAATACATTCCATCTTTACTGTGTGAGAAGCTGTATCATATGTGAGCTTTGCAGAACCGTTTTGTTTAAACCTGGACACTTACATGTGAAACGAGTAGGCTTTGACATGTCTGTCACATGTGAAACATCAGCCTTTTCAAGCAGGTTTTTTCTAAAAGGTTCCAATGTTTTTTATTATTTATTGTTTTTTGCAGCAAAACAGTTGTGAGCAGAATACAGCGCGGATAGATCTGAAGCTGTAATTTATTTAATAGTAGGACAAGCATTCAGACTTCTTCCTGAGCCAGACCTTGGGTAACACACTTTCTTTCCTGAAGACTAGCAAACTGATTTCAAAGGAATTGCTACTGAAATCCTGTTCCTATTTAGAAACCAGCCTGGAAGAGGCAGCAAGAGGTCTGTGCTCCAGTGCAATTCCCTGCTCAAGTCAGGGCTCTGGTTACACTAGGAGGTCCCAAACAAGACCTGCAGGTCGTATGGAAGCCCCTTGCATGCAGCTGGCCACCTCGGACTGCTCCTTTGCAACGGCCCTGGAGGGGAAACCCTGGTTTGACAATTAGTGAGAGCCAGCTCTGCGGCAGGATGTAGGACGGGGCCCCTCCAACGTTCTCCCAGCTGCTGGAATGGCAGCCATCTCAGCCTGGCAGCCATGCCCTCCTCCCAACGCGCATGCGCAGGACTCGCACCAGCTCCTAACCCGCCCATCAGCCGCCCCGCCCATGGTTCGGGGCTGCCTCCGGCGCGCCTGCAGGCCCCCTCCTGGCAGGGCAGGCGCGGCCGGGCCTTCCCCTGTGACGCACCTGGTGCGCGCGAGCTAGGAGGGAGGACCCCGGCACCTGCCAGCGGAGAAACGAAACTGAGCGCGCTAGGCGGCAGTTCGCTCATCCTGCTGCCACCTTCCCCCTCTGCCTTGGGATATGGTGCCGGCCTGAGTGCCCCCCGCTCCTGTGAGTACCGCCCGGGGTGGGGGCTCTGAGACTTGGGAGCTACCACCTCCGCGCGCAAGCGGGGGAGGGGGTTGCAGCTGGGGCGAGGGGCGTTATGAGGGTTCCCGTATGCCCGTCGGCAGGGCGGGCGCTCCCATCGCCGCGCGGTGGGGAGGCTGGGCACTACCACCCGCGGGGGGGAGCGGGGCGTTCCGGGAACCCCTCTGGGTCCCTCAGCGGGTTCCTCCCAGCTCGCGAGACCCTCGGGGGCTTCCGTAACTGCCCCCGGGGGGGCTTGGGCTAGAGCAGATAAGAGCTTAATAGAGAGCCATTAAAGACAGGGCCCAGGCAGAGCAGTGTCAGGCACTAAGCAAAGGGGAGGGGGGTTCTGCCTGCGGAGGGGCCTGGGCATTGCAGGTTGCGATGGCAACCCGTGGGGTGGGCCTGCGCCCCTGGCCTCTCTGCAGGCAGAACCCCCCTCCCCCCACCTTTTGCTCCCTGCCACGATACCTGAGAGGTCTCGAGTTTCTGAGTTACTGCAGAAGAGAACGGTGAGGGGGGATTTGATAGCAACCTTCAGCTACCTGTAAGGGTGTTGCAAAGAGGATGGAGCTGGACTGTTCTCAGTGGGGGCAGATGATACAACAAGGAGCAATGATCTCAAGTTGCAGCAAGGGAGGTTTAGGTTGGAAATGAGGAAAACATTTCTCACTAAGAGGGTAGTGAAGCACTGGAATGGGTTATCTAGAGAGATGGTGGGATCCCTGTCCCTGGAGGTTTTCAAAACTTGGCTAGGAAAAGCTTTGGCTGGGATGATCTAGTTGGGGATGGTCCTGCCTTGAGCAGGGGGTTGGACTACATCAGCGTTGCTCAACCCATGGGTCACGACCCAAAAGTGGGTTGCATGAATATATAAAAGGGTCACAAGCAAACTTTAAAAGTGGAACAATAGACTTTAAAAATGGATTGTCTTTTAAAAGTCAAAAACGTAGGGAAACCATGGCTTTTCCCTGGCACAGTGGCAGCCTGTGAGGGGCTGCTTGGGGCCCCCCATGCCTCCCACACACCTGAAACTAGATGATCTCCTGAGGTCCCTTCTAACCCTCATTTTCTATGTTTCTATGGTGGAAAAACCTGCTACATGCACGTAGACAGATGCAATGCAAGGTGGTGTTGCTGCTCCGACAGTGTTTGGTGGAAGCTGAACTGCAGCTTTCTGTGGTCTTGCTGTGGGGGCAGGGTGAATTGGCCATATGCCTTACGGGACAGTTCGGTGGCTGTTGGATCCAAGTTTGGCAGGGGCTTGCTTCAGCTATTATCTTTACTTGTTTGGAAGGTTTCAGATAGTGTTACACATTAAGTTGTTGAGCAGCTGGGAAAAGAACTTGTTTGCAGGTTGTTTAGGTAAACAGCTTCAAGTGGGATCAAGGGGAAACAAAAACACGTTACCTGCATCATTTCAGGGTATGTTCCACCATTCTTTAATGCCATGTATCCTGAAGTGATGAAGCATTCCATACCTATGTCCCACTACCAGAGGAAGTGAACTAATGTAATATTCACGGTGTATAATTTGTTCTTGCAGTAAAAATGAAGAGAAGAGCGGAGCCTGAATTTAGCAGCCCCCAGAAGAAGCAGAGGAAGAGGATAGAGGATCTGGGATTAACCCTCAGTTCCACTTCAGATGATGACACTCAGTTTAGCAATCATGCAACCCAAGGTAAGGTCAGGCATTAGGTGCTAAAGTTGTCAAGAAATGGCCTCGCAGGAAAGGATACTTTTCTCTTCAGGATAACCCTGAAGAAAGAATGCTTCTCTCTTTAGGTATCTAATTCATCACCACAAATGGAGACTCTAGGAGCAAAGCTAGCATAGTTTCTATTTGTAAACTGGGCTGAGAATTTCTCTTCTTTAAGTCGTTTTATTTGGATGTTTTTAAACATGATCTGAAATTAACAATAGAGTATTCAAGCTTTATTTGCTTTGATTCATTGTCTTTTGTTTTTTTTTGTCTATGGGTTACCTTATATATTTTTTATTTAGTTAGCCCCCACTTCAAGAAGCTTATGTTCTTGGAACAGATGGTCCTTTCTTGTGGTGCTGTGTAAACAGTATCCTGTCTAATTTACCAGGTATTGACTTTCCTGTCATGCTCAAAGTTATTGCTATGAATATATACAGTCTTGGGAAAGGAAAAGACCTTGGCAATGCATGGTCTGTATGAATCTGGGAAAGGGAAAAGTTAGGGGCACAAAGTAAATTCATGAAACAGAAGGCAAACGCTTGATGTAGTGTCTGTAAAGGTTCTGATTATAAAACTGTTATGTTGCTCATTTCAGCTGTGGTGGGTTTTCCTAGCCTAAGGATAAAAGCAGGGAGATAACTTTCATAAGTGAGTGGTTGTGCTCATGAATTCTCATAAAACGAAACCTAATAACGTTGCTCTGTAAAGTCAGTTTGGTAACGTTATTCCAGTTTTACAAATGTGAAAGAATGAGGTGCAGGGAGATTAAAGGAATGTTTATAAGTGGTTTGAGCTGGGGATTGATGGTAAACTCCCTTGAGGTGTGTCTCAGCAACTCCGTGGAACTTTATTCAAGACATCTAATCCCTCTACCTTGGTTTCTCTCGTAGAGTGGGGGTAATATGTATTTCTTAGGAGTCGTGTTGATATCCTGAGATGAAAAAAGAAGTGCTCAGTACTGTGTCATATTGTCTTTGGTTGAAGTCAGAAGGATATAGAGTTGGATATAGGAAATGAAGTTTGAGGTCCTTGGGCTTTGTTGGAGCAGGTTGGCTCTCCATCTTATTCTGTATGTTCACTATGGTGGGGTACTTAAGTAGTTACAAATTTAGGTGTCTCTGTTCCCAACTCTGAAAGGCAAGCATCATAAGCCTGCCAGTGTAGGGCATATAGACAGTGACTTCCCTGAGCTGTTAGAAAGTGAATCAGAAATATTTTAAAGACGTATTTGCATTATGAATGTGCAGCAGTAGGAAATCAACTGCTGGAGACTACGTTTGCAGGATGAGAGATTGAGGAATTTGAGAACTTGATTGGTTGTTGCTTTGCATGACGTGTGGAAAATGTGTCTAATGAGGATTAAGAGGAAGGAAGCTGGATTGCTTGAGGGTACTTTTGAGAGTCACACTCAGAAGCTGGGGCCTATAATGAATACATGGGAAAAGGAAGCAAGCCACAAGTAAGCAGGGTGCATTCAGATTAACTGAAGGTGTGAGAGGGAGGGGTGCCTCATCCAGTCAGAGGGCTGCTAACAGTTCGATTCTGTAACCACCTGGGAATTATGTGGTGAAACTGCCCTAAGGGCACCCTCTGCTGCCAACCTTGAGTCTGCCATGCTTGAGAGCAGCTGTGAGACCCTCAGGGCAGCTTCACTACTTCATTTCTGGATGTGGTATGTGCAGAATGGAAGCATAGGGGTGTTTTTGGTAGTGTTCTCAGGAGCACTGTGGAAGTAGCACAGGCATACCCAGGATGATTTCAGTAGTTCCTAGTTATTGCTGGATTTCTAGGGGGAAGGGGTGTGGGAAAAGATTAAAAAAAAAAATCTATCCGTCCATCAGAAGGACACTGAAAGGCCCACATCCAACCTTGCTTGCTTTTGCCAGGCAATTGTAATGTCCAATTTCTTCTCATTCATGTGAAGCCAACAACTTGTACAGCTCTTTGAATGCCGGACAGAACAAATTTGAGCTCTGATAGTGCTGTAATGTCTTTCTGTGTCTAGAGGAAACCCTTTTATAGAGTGGGCAAAGTATGGCCCATAGGCTTGTTGCGTTGCCCGTAGTTTACCAATGCAGCCTGTGGCCATGAAGATGTCACTGCAGAAGGGAGGCAGGTTACTGGGGCGAGGGAGAGTCTTGCAGAGTTGCATTTCATTTTGTGTTTGACTGCTGACTTGATTAAGTTCTTCCCCCAAACCCAGCTTTCCTCTTGGGCAAACACTTTTCTAAAAGCAGGATTGATGTTTAAACTCCTTTAATGAGTCACTGTTTGTCGGTAACTCGGATAAAATTTAGTATATTAATTAATTGGTGGGATTGTGTTTTGTAAAATCCATTTGTGTCTGGTTTTTTTTATTGAAGTGGCTGTAGATAATATACTGCAGCCGTGCTCTATTGATGTATTGGACAATTTCCTATCTCTTCCTGAAGATCTACATCCCTTTTTTCCAAGATCTATGAGAGTAACTGCTTCATTAGTCCAGATGAGAAACTATCTTAAATGAAAATCCTAAATAACATCTTGAATTCTCAGTGACAAATGCTGTGCAGTTTAACTGATAAGGTCCTTGCAAAGGCAGTTATGCCTGTCACTTAGCTCTGGCAAAGTAATTTTTAAATAGATTAGTTATCTTAGGAGGATGATCATATTACTCCAGTTAATTATACTCTCATTACACTATTGCCTGTTAGGGCTTTTATGGAACTTTATTAAGTACGGCTGTTTCCTCTTTTGTTTAATCTCCTGCTGTAGGAAGAATAAATCATTTTTGGTCCTCCTTTCTTTCCCAAATACCTGTAAATCCTGACTTGTTTTGTATTCTTTATGTAATGTTGGTATTTTAATATGGGCTAGCTTTGCTCTTTGTTGACTTCTGCCTGGGCAAAAACCCACAATGGTTTCTGGCAGCAACCCTTAAAATGAATGGCTGATTGTAAGGCAGTGCAAAGGTATTAGCTGAGTGACTCTCATTGGCAGAGTGGAACTATGGCCAAATTAATCAGCCACACTTGCTGCTTTGAGAACATATGAGCCTTAGTCAGTTTTTCCAACCCAAGATGGGGAGAGAAGGTGGCTTGTGCCCTACAATACAGAATTCTTCCTAAGCTCCAGGTATGGCAGCTGCCAGCTTGGCATAGAAATTTCACTTGTGGGGTCTTTTTAACTGGAACATGGCAGATGTGATGTTTGTGAGGCAGGCTGTGGTACGCATTTTTTTTTGCTTCATGCTCCCAGCTAGTGGAAAGAGCTATGAAGCATTTACTAAAAATACTCTATTGGCACCCTGACATCCCTGAAAGAGCTGTTATGTCACCAGGAAGGGACATGTTGATGTTGAGGACCTTTGGCGTAGTACTTGGATAGCTTCCTTCTGTCTGACTTGCAGTGGAGTTTGAATTAACAGGGTTTGCAACACACCTCTGGGGTTGGACTTAAACCTGCCTGGAGTAAGGATATCTGAGGGTTTAGGCTTCTTATTTTTTTTTCTATATTGCCTCTTCTCTTCCTGCCTAGGCACTGTGCCATGTAGGCTGTGAGGTCACAAGATCTTTTGAAGCACCTGTGCTCTGCTGATACAATGGAAGAATTTAAAAATAGAGAATCAGAAGAATAGATTGCTGCTTTTTAGCTTGCTGCTGGAAAAAGAGTCCTTTCCTCAGCTGGCTGAGGCAATCTAAAGTGATGTGAAGGTGGTGTCAAGTCCTCAGGTGAGCTGTAAGGGGGAGCCAGTGTGAAGTGGTTCGAGGGAGAAGAATTTATTCAGGATTTTAGAGCTCTTTTCTGATCACTTAAACGAGAGCTGGAAAAAGCTACATGACCAGGGGAGCAGAATACTTTCTCACTCACTCAAATGACTTCAATCCCTCTTTAGTGTCAGCTCTCATTGTAAAAGGTGTTGTGTTTAGCTCTAACAGTTGTGAAGAAAATGTTCCAAATGTGAGTGATACAGATATATTTGTTTGAATCTGCCCCTGTGCTATTGCTGGCATTTGGGAGTATGGGTAGTGCAAAGAAATACTGCTTTGAGGATATCAGGGAGCCTGGGTACTAATGCCAGTTTGGGGAACCCCAGCCACAGGAAAGTGGGTTTTCCTGCCTGGGTGCTCTACTGCTTCTCAACCCTCTACTGCTTCTCAGCTAAACTATGAACCCTGGAGCACAAAAGACTGAGGTGAATCACTGTTTGGAGCAAGAGGCTAGAGGGTTGTGTGAATGAGGGAGGGACTGCAGAGCCCTCTTTGTGGAGGAACATTATCAATGGGGCCACACCTCATACAGCATTCTTTCAGAAAGGTAGTCAGAGGACCTTGCCGCTACAGCTCTTTAGTCTGGCTTAAGTATCCCTACTTATCAGTGCAGTTCCCCCTGTTTTTCAGTGAAAAATGGGATCTGGTCCAGGAGGAGGGAAAGCTCCATTCTTGGCACCAAACAGAAGCTCTTTGCCTGGGGATTTCTCTGTTACCTGAGCCAAAGATTTGCGGGGTAAGGTGCAGCATAACCTGATAGTGGAAGGAATAGTCAAACCAGACAAAATCCTCATGTAGACCTGCAGCAGAGAGTGGGTTTCACAGTGTTGTGTTTAGCAGGTCACCAGTGTAAGCCCCTGCTTGTGTCAGCAAGATATATTGACACCCAGGGTAGTGCTGATGTAACTGTGTCAGAGTAGTTGTTTTTCACTGCTTTTGCAGAAGAATGAGCAAGCAAACCAGCTCTTCAAGCCAGTGGCTCTCGAGGTTAGTATCTGAAGTCTTCAGGATTCTCCCAACACCTCCTAGTTCTTGAAGAGCCTCTTCCCCCTTCCCCCTGCCTTCCTGCTGTATGAATTCTGAGTTCCAGTGAAATAACTGCCTGTTCACGTCTTCCCTCTGTTTTGTTTTCAGAGTCTTCTAGTAGCAGCAGTGGGTCTGACAGCGAGAGTGATGAGAAGCATCAAGTCTTCAGCAGTGAGTACAAACCGGACTCTCTCGTGGAGGGCACCTCTTCCCGCTACTCCATGTATAACAGCGTCTCCCAGAGGCTCATGGTAGGTCACTGCTACTTTTGAGCAGGCTGATAAGTGTCTGAGGGCATAGTTCAGAGTACAGTCTGTGTGAGGGTGCTCCTGGCATTCATTATACCTGTGAAATCTAGGATGTACTGGGATAGATGTTCTGGCTGCACTGATCACATTCAGTGCTGATTGTGCCCCTGCAAATATTCAATGTTGATTAAAGGCTAGAACCATTTTAGCTTTCATAGGAAAAAGGAAGACCTCGATTCAACTAATTACATTTCCCACTCAGGTGCCAGTCAATTGCACTGCACATATATACTCTGTATAGAAACATATCCCTTCTAACCTGTGCCACCTGGACTTAAATATAAATGTTAACTGTTGGCTGGATGTCCTACTTGTATTTTGCCCGACTGTAATTGCCATGTATCAGCTTTTTCCAACTGGGAGGTAACTAGAGAAGCTCTCGGTGATGTGTCAGATTGCCAGAGCTTCAGAGCTGACTTTCTAAACTACTACTTTTATTATTGCTAATAATTTTCCCTTCATGCAGCACAAGACCCACCTAAACTTCCAAGACTTAACTTTCTATCTGTATGGGCAGATACACAACGTATAGATCAAAGGAGTATTCAGTCAAGGAGCAAAAATACCATGTTTTCCTCTGGAGATACCGGATTAGCACAAATGCTGACTGGGACAGCTAGGGGGAGTGCTGGTGCTGTTTGTAGTAAAGCACAGTGGGTTTAGTGTGAGTTTTAACTGCTGTGACTCACACATGCATACACACATGCACTCACACACATAATCAGGCCCCCAAGTAGAGGATTTCACAAATTAAGTTGACTCTGGCCATCAGCAGGGGCATGTCTGTTCCTAGCTTTCAGACTCTGTTTTATTAATTGGCTCCAAGGGCATCATAAAGAGGCTCCTGGAACAATCTTACATGGTGCAGCACTTTTCATGCTACTTTGTGGTTTTGGGGTCAGAGTTAATAAACTACCCTACAGAAAGGGCCTGAAGAGACTGGGAATGGTGTTAGTCCTTCTCAAACAGGGAAAACAAGCCAGTGATCTACACTCCTTTAGAGAATAGTTGCCTACACAGTTGATGTTTCTCACTGCCTGTGCCACACTGTAGCCTGCAAAGTCTTCAGTTCCTTGGAAGGCCAGCAAGCCAGGCTGGTAACATTGCTCTGCTGATCCTGATAGTGGTCCATGGAGCAGTCGAGATGAGTGTCAGTCTCCTTTTGAGTTTACCACTGTAGTCCAGGGGAGTGAGACACGCTAACCATTCAAAATTCAGCGGCTGCAGGAGTCACTGTGGTCAGTCGTCATCACATTTTACATGCATCCTTCTTAGGAATTTGTTGACAGGTATAATAGACAGTTGAAGAGCCACCATGTTACTTTACTGCCTTTCTTGTAAAGGTTGGTAATTAACAATGGTAATGGCTTTTGCTGGTTTTCAGATGTCGGAGGAAATGGACAGCTTCCTGATTAAGATCAAAGCTGTCCAAGTGCATGCATATTTGTGCAAGTGTGCACATGCATGCGTGTGCATATGTGTGTGTACTACTCCCCTGTACTGGGCAGAGCTAGCACCCTGGGTGCAAATTTTAAAATGGGGGTGTCAAATTAACCCTGGGACAGACCTGGCCTGCAGGGGCTCCTCCTAGGGTGGCTCCTCTGGGGGCCAGTGGCATCATGGGTCATGTAATAGTGTTGGCATGGGTTTGTGGATGGTGGTGGGGGTCAGGCAGCAGCGAGGTGTGTAAGGGCTGCATCAGCCCTTCCTCACCCCCTTGCTGCTAACAGCCATGTCCATTGGGGCCCAGGGGTGCTGAATTCTGCAGCAGGTCCCCCCTTCCCCCACCCTACCCCACCCCCAACTTGTCCTGCCAGATGGAGTGGTTCTGTGGGCCAAGTCCAGCCTGTGGGTCATGCATTTGACTACCCTCACTTTAAGAAAAGCCTTAAGAAGTGTCTGTTACTGAAGCTTCTTTTCTTAACGTAAGAATTAGAGCTGCTTTTCAGCAGCAGAGTGTCCTGCGTTTGTCCTGTGCCCGCTAGGTGAGGTTTTAATTGGGGAGTAGTAGATATGTTGGAAGGTAGGGCTAGGATTCTGATATGTTAGCATGTACAGATATGCCAACCTTGGGTGCCAGCATCTCCCAGTGCTTTGCCTTCTACACTCTGTGGACAGGGTGACAGATGACTTCTAGCTTCTTAGTGCTTTGCCATCCAGGTGAGTTGCTCGTGTACAGCTGAATCTTTTCTAATGATGTTATCTTGCCAAACTTATTTCTCCAGATCTGGTTCCCACTTGATCAAGGAAATGAGCTGGCAGGAGAGTCCTGAACAGTTTTAAGTGAGATTCATTAAGCACACTCACTATCTTTCAGTCACCACTACACAGTGCAATATCATTTATCCTTCTGGCCTTCAGCCACAGACGTCCCTATATTTGTGTCCAACTGCTTTCAACACCGTCCATTTGCTTTGCTTTCCAGGCCAAGATGGGCTTCCGTGAAGGAGAAGGTCTGGGGAAATATGGCCAGGGGAGGAAAGAAATTGTTGAGGCCTCCAATCAGAAGGGAAGGAGAGGCTTTGGTTTGACTCTGAAAGGATTTGAAGGAGAGCTCAATATTGATTGGCGGGATGAGCCAGAGGTAAGTGCTTCTTAGATCCCTTCTCTTGTTTCATTATACACAGTTTCTTGCTTCCTTCTGTGATGCAGCCAGCTGCTGCTTAGGGTCAAGCTGGGGAGATCACAGATGTGCTCTATCAGTTCCTGTCTGGGTTTTCGCTATGATAGGGATTGTCAGTGTAGATGCAAGTCAACATAAAAATGGCACCCTGCCTCCAAAATCTTTTGGTGACATTGCTTATTTTTCATTCCCGTTAGTGTATTCCAAACACAGTAGTGAGGCATGATGTTCCTATGTCCTTCAAGTTATTCAGGATGGAGGAAACTTGTGAAGGGCAGATAGGGTTATTGCATGAAAAATAAGTCCTTTGGGCATCCCAGCACTGAGTGAAGTATCAGGCTGTAATATTATATATGAATCTATGTAGTGGTTTGCTTTGGTTGCCTTGTGACTGATCTTTCAGGGCTCTGGCCATAATTATGATGGGTTTTTGGTGTGTGTGGGGGTGGTTTTTTTTTGGTTTTGTTTTGTGGTTTTTTAAGTGGGAGAAGAAAAAGTTCTATGCTTGGCTCCAGAGCTCCTGGTGCAGAGTCCATAGTAAAAAGACTGTGATAGGACTGGGACTCCAGCATTCCCTGAGGCTCCTAACCACCATAGAAAACTGGGTAGAAAACTGGCTGAGTGGATAGAAAACTGGCTGGATTTTGGGCTTAGAGGATAGTAATCAGTGGCTCTAATGTAGTTGGCAGTTGGTATCATAGATTAAGATTAAGGTTTTTAGATTAAGGGTCGGAAGGGACCTAGTAGATCTTCTAGCCTGACCCCCCGCCAGGGCGGGAGAACAACAAAAACCCCAAAAACAAGAAACGGGACTCAAATGAGTCCAGCCAGGTAGGCATCCAGCCTCTTCTTAAAGACCCCCAGGGTAGGGGCCAGCACCACTTCCCTTGGAAGTTGGTTCCAGCTCCTAGCTGCCCTAACTGTGAAGTAGTTCTTGCGGATGTCCAATCTATACCTCCTCTCCATCAACTTGTGCCCATTACTCCTTGTTATGCCAGCGGGCGCCAGGGGAAACAGCGTCTCCCCCAAACCCTTCTGGTCCCCCCTAGTGAGTCTATAGATGGTCACCAGGTCCCCCCTCAGCCTTCTCTTGTGGAGGCTGAATAGGTTCAGGTCCCGCAGTATCAAGTAGAGTGCCCCAGGCGTCAGTCCTGGGGCTGGCTTTGTTCGGTATCTTCATCAACAACCTGGAAGAGGGATGGAGTTGCACCCTCAGCAGATTTGTAGTTGATGTCAAGCTGGGGGGAGTAGAAGATATGTTGGAAGGTAGGGCTAGAATTCAGAGCAGCCTTGACAAATTGGACAATTGGACCAAAACAAATCTCATGAAGTTCAATAAGGACAAGCGCAAATACCTGCATTTAGGACAGAAAAATCCCATGCAGTGGTACAGCCTGGGAACTGACTGGCTAAGCAGCAGCTCTGCAGAAAAAGAACTGGGGGTTAGAGTGAACAGTGAGCTGAATATGAGCCAACAGCGTGCCCTTGTTGTGAAGAAAGCTAAGGGCATAGTGGGCTCCTTTTAATAGGAGCATTGCCAGCTGGTCAAGGGAAGTGATTCTTCCTCTCTATTCAGCACTAATGAGGCCACATCTAAAGTGCTGCGTCCATTTCTGGGCCCCCCGCTACAGAAACGATATAGGCAAATTGGAGAGAGTTCAGCAGAGGGCAACGAAAATGGTGAGGGGGCTGGGGCAAATGCATTATGAGTAGAGGCTGAGGGAGCTGGGCTTATTTAGTCTGGAAAAGAGAAGCTGAGGGGGATTTAATAGGAGCCTTCAGTTACCTGAAGTGGGGTTCCAAAGAGGATGAAGCTAGACTGTGGTGGTGGCGGCAGATGACAGAACAAGGAGTACAGCAGGGGAAATTTAGGTTAGGTATTGGGAAACTTTCTTAGTAGGAGGGTAGTAAAACATTGGAACAGGTTACACAGAGAGATGGAATCTCCAGTCTTGAGGTGTTTGAAATCTGGTTAGATAAAGCCTTGGGTGGGATGATCTAGTTGCGGATTATCCTGCTTTGAGCAGGGGGTTGGATTAGATGACCTCCTGAGGTCCATTCCAACTCTAATTTTCTATGATTCTGTCATGTCTTATTTTTGCAGGCTGGTGCCTATGAACAGGTGGACTGGTGCCCTGAATGCACCACTGAAATCCCCGATGCCCAGGAGATGAAGGAGTGGATGACTGTGGGGAAGGTATTTCTCTGAGAGAGCAGAGTCCTGTTACTTCCCCTTTTGCTTAGACTGGTGACAGTCAGTCTTGAGTTACTAGGGCTCTGCTTTGTCACGAAAGAGTTGTGGAGAACTATGGGTACTATGGAGATGAGGGCCAGATAAGTGCCTACATAGACCAATCCCAGCCAGGTGTCCCACGTGGCACTAGCATGTTGAGCTCTCCCCTTTTGCTGTTCTGCATTGCAATCATTGGTGCAGAGGGCACTAGGCAGTCTTAGGGTTTCACTTCACTTTGTGTTGTGGTTTGGGTCTCTACTGACACAATATGTTTTTTTCTCCCTGACCTGTTGCTTTTTAAAGGGGTGAAGAGGGAGAAAGACAGTCCAGGGCTGTGTGTGCTGCCCTTGGTTGGGGCAGGCAGCATGGGGAGTGTGCCTGTGATCCACATACCGCTCACCCTGAGGTGAAAGTGGGATTTCCACATGATGTTACTTACAGCTGTAGCCTCTTGCCTTTCAAGTTGCTGGCTTCACCCATCATTCCTGTGAGTTCTGGGAAGTACCTCACAGAAGCATCTGGGACAGAGTTGGCTAATTGCTGTGTGTTCTCATTGCCCCTGCTCTAGCGGAAGATGGTGATTGAAGATGAGACAGAATTCTGTAATGATGAGCTTCTACAGCATGTGCTGCAGTGCAAGGTGAGTTCCTTCCTCCAGAGACCAAGATAAGAGTTTGGGGAGGTGAGGGCAGCTAAGAGCATGTTCAAGGAACAGGACAGCGTATTTAGGCAGCTGGCCAAGAAATCTTTCACCTTTTGAATGCCAGTGCAGGTTAAGACTAGGTAGAGAACAATGGAAGTTGTTACTGTCTGGCTATTTGGCAGCCAGTGTGACATGATAAATGTCCACATCTCAAAAAACGTGGAGATGAGTGATACCAAAGGCACCTTCATTGACAGTTGCAGCAGAAAGTCTGGAGACTGAGTGAGCTGTGGAGAAAACCTCTCCTTTTCTTTGTTTTGCCCTTCAGTCTCCCAGTCTTGCTTCTCTACTTCAGGGCTTCTGTGTAGTGGTGGTGGCCAGGGAAGAGCTTGTGTTGCGATGGCCATCTAGCTGAACGGAACTTCTGGCTCTGGGGTTGCCAATCCAGCACTTCTGTAGTTCAGCTCATTGTAAAAATTGAGCACAGCTTGGGACAAGTGCAAGGTATAGGTAGGTGGCTGAATGATTACACCAGTTTGAAGAAATGTCCTTACATTGGTGTAGCCCAGTCATGATGGGGTCTAGAGATAAATGCATAAGGAGGCACCATTCCTAGTTGAGACATTGGAAAGTGCTCCAGCCAGCTGATCTGCCTGCTTGTCCATGCTGTGGCTGACTCCCATTTTGTTTCTGCCTCTGCAGAGTGTGTTTGATGAGCTGGATGGGGATGAGATGCGCCGGGCCAGGACAAGGTCCAACCCCTATGAGATGATTCGCGGGGTCTTCTTCCTGAACAGGTCTGCAGAGCATCTCAGCCTGTAGCCTCTTTCTCCTTCAGGCATAGTAGTTTTGCCAACCTGGAGTGCACTCATATCCCTGTTTGTGTGTTCACAGAGCTGCGATGAAGATGGCAAATATGGACTATGTCTTTGACAACATGTTTACAAACCCAAAAGACTCCCATGGGGTAAGGAGTCTCTCTCATTTCCAATCAGGGATGCCTTCCCAGTGGTGAGAGGGAATCCTTTAGGCACCATCGAGGATGTGGATGCTTTCAAGGTGGCAGAGATTCCAGCTGAGAGGGGCTGTATTAGTGGGTTTGCTCAGTGTGGGTGGTGGCTCTTGGGCCATTAGAATTGTCCCCATTCTCTTTACAGAAACCCTTGATAAAAGAACGGGATGCAGAGCTGCTTTACTTTGCTGATGTCTGTGCGGGCCCTGGTGGCTTCTCTGAGTACGTTCTGTGGAGGAGGAAGTGGCATGCAAAAGGCTTCGGCATGACCTTGAAAGGACCAAATGACTTTAAGCTGGAGGATTTCTATTCTGCCTCCAGCGAGCTCTTTGAGCCTTACTATGGTACGCATGGGTATGTGGTGGTGTTGCGTTCGCTACAGAGGGTCTGTCTCCAGGCCAGTCATATGTTCTATATGTGGGGAAGGGATATGGCCTGTTAGGAGTTGGAGATCACAGAGACACCTAATCACAATAACCATTTCAGAGCCATCCTGATGGTGATAGAGGTGCTGTTGTATAAAAAAGGGGTCAAGGTTACAAAACCTGCATGGCAGGTCATATTCCTGCAGTTATGAGTGCAGCCTGCCACTGAGTGTGCATGCACTTGAGTGCTTCCAGATGGGGGAATCTGAGACAGAGAGACAGAGAGAAGTTGTTCATGGATTAATTGGCAGAGCCAGCAGCAGAAAGCCAGCTCGCCTGATTTGGAGCCCTTCTGCATTAACACTTAGGCCGTTTCTTTTCTGGACCTTGCCAGCACATTTGAGGATTTTTAATTGGTTTGGACAGGAAATTACAATTTGGTGGGGGGGGACCACCAGCACCTCCCTCCCCCTTTGCATTTTATCGCAGCATCGGTTAAGGCAATCTAAATATGATTGGTGTTGTAACCAAGGACATAACCTGTCTGCCTTTCCAGCCTGAAACCCAGGGCAACTTGTTGTTCATGGCAGTAGTCTGACTGGTTTGGGAAGCTCTTCTTGACATCCAACCATGAATTTGTGGTGTGTGTCTGACATCTTTGGATCAGATCAGATAAAAAGAGTTCTCAGTGGGCAGCCAGGTGGATAAACACTTTTTATAAGGACTGTAGCATTTGGATCTTCATATCTCATCCCATGGCAATGCTCTTGTGGAAAGTTGTAGATACCTGTGAGAATGAATAGGCCAATGACTTTGATGCATTCTCCTGTTTCCCGTTCTCTCTGTGTCTTATGTGCTATAAAATATATTGAGATCCGTACAAACTTCTCTCCCAGTGAAGGGAAGGAAACAAACTGCCTTATTTCTCATGCCAAGTGCGAAGAAGAATGGTAACAAATTCCAGTCCCATTCCGCTCAGCGGCAGGATAATGGATGAGGAATTTATTTCTCAAAGCACCATCAGACACTCTGATTGCTGCTGCTTTTTGCTTGGTATAGTATACCTTTCTAGTCACCCTGTTGAGTTAATAGAAGCAGTAAATGTGGAAACTGCAGAGAATAGAACCTCAAAATATATTCAGATTTCACAGGATTCTGAATACATCATCTGGGGTCTAGTGCAGGGCAGATCTTCTTAAAAAATCAGCTGTGGGAAGATTTGTGTCTTACCTTTTTAAAAGAGCCACCTAAGAAATCTGTAAAATATTCCCTTGAAATAATAACAGCTCAGTTACTGAACATTTCTTCTCCCTTTATAGCGGATTGCTAAACAAACTTTCACACAAGCAGGTTCTTTAAGGCCCAGACTGTTTAGTGTGGAAATAATAGTAACACCATTCCTGAGAACTCAGATCATGGTTGTTAGTGAAAAGTTGCTAATCAAGAATTGCTGGCCAGTGTAGACACACTTATTCTGCTTGTAAAAACTGGCCACCAAACTATGCCATAGATGAAGGTACTGTCTACACTATGACATTTATACTCAGTAGTGTAATGAAGGGGAACACCACTGAGGAACCAGCCCTGGATGCTGACTTGGATAGGGCAGTGCTGCTGGCCTGGCAGTGAAGTCATTGAAGCTGCCCTGGGCACTAAAGAGCCCAGTTATGCTTTTTATGCTGTAAAAACTCTGGTGAGGACCAGCTCTGAATGTGATCAGACAAAAGAGTTCAATTGCTTCAAAAGCAGTGTGAGTGTAGGCAGCTGTAGCTGAGGGCAGGTTCACTGCACACTAGTACAGCAGCCTAGGCAGCCTGGACTCCATGAAGCTGTTCTGGGTGCCTCATTTGTTCTCCTTCCCCCCTCCTCCCCCAACACCTCCCGCCAGCAAAGCCTCCTGGCAGGAGTGCGTTCCACTCACCTCGCTCGCCCCCTTCCCCAACAGGTACATTCCAGAGCATGGGACTGCAGCTGCCTATATCCTATGGCCAGGTTACCCCTGCTGTAGAAAAGGCTCCTGGTGGGGAGGGTGGCATGCTGGCACCTCCTCCAAGTTGGCACCTAGGGCTGATGCCCAGCTCGTCCTGCTCTAGTTACACTGCTGCTGAGTAGCAAGGCCCCCATCCTCCCAACACACTTTAAAATGATATAATGCTGTAGGTCTGTCCATGTAACCTGTTCTCTTCTTAACCAAAATGGGTGGGACAGTATTCTAGTGCAATGGGTCCTATTAGGGAGGAAGGAGGGGTGAGCTGGCTTTTCCCAAGGCTAAAACATGAACTTTTTTAACCTGGGTATAACATGGTTTAGTTTAGCCTAGCCCACACAGGCAGAACCCAGCCTGGCCATGGAAAGTTGAGCTAGCATCTTCCAGCAAGAACTACACTCCAGACAATTCTCTGGAGTGGTTCTGACTTAACTTCCAAACTCTAGGTGGTCATGGACTACAGGTTGGTATGGTATCAGCGGATACGTGCTAGTCTGTCACTGGTGTATCCTCCTATCTCATGTGCTGTTTGCATATATTTGTAATTACTTCCTTTTTCTGTCTAGGAGAGGGAGGAATTGATGGAGATGGAGACATCACCCGCCCAGAGAACATCACTGCATTCCGGAATTTTGTTTTGGACAACACTGATCGCAAGGGAGTGCACTTCTTAATGGCTGATGGGGTGTGTTCCTTTCTCTCCTTTGTAAAGAATGCTGAAAGCCTTTAGCTAGAGTCAGAGTACAGTGGGGATGTGACCAGTTCTCTGTTTTAGTTAGTGTGGAATTTGGTCAGGCTTGCCAGCAAATCTCTGATCAGCATTTGTTTATCCGCATATGTTCAAGCTGTTGTGGTTGTAAGTATCAGCAGTATCTCTAGCTAACCAGTGAATTTGCAGAGATGTTCACTGCATGCTTTGTTTCAGGGTTTCTCTGTGGAGGGTCAGGAGAACCTACAGGAAATCCTGAGCAAACAGCTGTTGCTTTGCCAGTTCCTAACAGGGCTCTCGATTGTCCGGACAGGTATTATTATTATTATTATTATTATTATTTTTAACTTTGTTAGTCTTCCCCTTCTTTTCCAAGGTGAAGGGCTTTGAAGATGGGTGCTATCAAATGTTGCTATCAGTGCCTGGAGTCAGTTCTGGTGTAACATTTAAGTTTTGTTGAATTCAGTAAGTGTGTTCCCATAGATTTTAGTGTTCCTCATCAGTCTCCAGACAACCCTCATTAAAGGCACCAGTTGGAAAATGCCAGCTCACAGTTTTCACTTGTTTGAGCTACAAAACAATAACAGAGGACTCTTCTTGCAAAGAACACAGAAAGCCCACAACAGCATAGACTATGGCTTCCCATTTCATTTTAATACTGTGGATTTTTAATACTTTGGATTCCTATTTAAAATCTCTGGGTTTATCTTATAACAAAGTTAGTTAGCTGTGATAGTCTGAAGTCGGGTAGAAGGCAGGGTAGATTTGCACCTTTTTATAGGCTAAATCACAGATGCGTAGCATAAACTTTTGTAAGCAGAGGACACTGTAGCTCTACGTAGCTTCTGGCTGACAAATGTTAGGAATGGTTAGCATGAGGACTGATCTTTTAGAACAGATAATTTTGCACTGAGGAGCCAGAGGATATGGGCTAGAAACTTTCACAAAGTTACTGCTCACATCGTATCCCATGTTCAGAGCATTTGAGGCAGTGACCCTGGGAGCAGTTGAGTGTTGGAACAGGCTTGCTAAACAGTGCAGACTTTTTTGGTTTCTCCTAACCCAGCCTATCTACTGGGGTTTCTCCAGGCAGATTGTAAGCTTGATATTCCTGCTGTTCCCAGAGGAAGTAGCTGGAACCTCATCTGAAGGCAAAGGATAGAGACAGCCCTCTGCTGAAGATGGGGAAGCATTTTTCAGTGAACTAGATTGCTATTTCAGATCCAGTTGGTTTTTCCCAGTCTAAGGCTCCCTGGGTTGGATCTGAGCTCTTTAAGGCTTGTTTAGCAGCCAAGCCAGAAGTCGTTGTGTGGGAGGTCTGAGGAGTGCTGCAGAGGCAACATACAGTTTGATTTGGTGTGAGCAAAGATAATCAATTATGCTGGTATTAAATTATATTGGTTTAAAGCACTTGATATAATTGTTACATCTGTCTCTTCCTATCCTGACATAAGTGAAATTAAATCATTATACCTTTAAACCTGAACAAAACAGGTTTAAAGTTATAGCAGCTTAACTCATTTTCACTGGTATAGGAGTGAACAGACATAACAGTTAAGCTGAGAAAGCTGATATACATTTCCTTTCCAAAAATGACTTAGTTACATCTATCCACAGCCTTAGAGTGACATCCTCTCCACCTGGCTGGGAATTGTTTCTTTGCAGGATCGTTGATCCATCTTGCTAGGATGCTGTTTAACTGTACTTAAGCATTCTTGGTTGTTACAGGGTGGGGGGAAGGACACTTGATATTTCCCTTCTCTCCTTGTAGCCTGCTGGCTGCAATGTGCTTCCTCTGTCTGCTCCAGGAGGACACTTTGTCTGCAAAACATTTGACCTGTTTACTCCGTTCACCGTGGGGCTGGTGTATTTGCTGTACTGCTGCTTTGAGCGAGTGTGTATCTTTAAACCTGTGACAAGCCGTCCTGCTAATTCAGAGAGGTACGATTCTCGAGGCCAAGGAATTAACGCAGCCCTTTCCTCTAAAACCTGGTAGATAGATTTGTATAACTGCAGATCTGACCCTGAGAACCAGCTAGCAACCATCTGGGAGGAAGAAATATTTAAGTAGTTGGAGAATGACAGTGTATTTACCAAAAGCCCGTGGCCTGCTTCTGCTTGTGTTATCAGCTTCCAGTGTGAGAACAATACAGTTCAATGGAAAGTGGGGTCTGTTTCACATGAAGTAGCCTAAGGATCTGGCCACATATTTCTGTGGTGTGTGTTCAATTGCTGCAGATTCTGTAATGCTTTGCAAGCTGTTCATGGTGCACCATTGAAATGCAGCAGGGTCTTGGCAGGAGGGCAGCAGCCACCTACTGTGTGCAGCATATCCCATCCTGCTTTTTGTGGAATGGGAGTGGCCACAAGAGCAATTCCAAACTCTTGTAAGGCATGACAAGGGAGTTTTTTGTCAACAGAGCAGAAAGAATATCAGCTTTTGAAGAACTTGTGTATGTCTTCACCCGTCTTACTCTGAGTACCTGTTGTCATCCTCAAACATCCTTCCTGCACTTGGGTGAACTCGCAGTTCTCCCCTCTTTCCTCCCCCTACCTCCACACACCCCATTCTCATCTGGTACCCTAGATTTCTTGTCCTCCTTAATTTCTGTGGTGTCTTAGGCAGGCCCTGAGCTGAGCAAGATAGGGAATCTATGCCAGAGCCCCTATTAGGAACTAAATCTTTAGAGACCCAGTCCCAGGTTCTGTTCTTTTGAAGGGCCATGCTGTCTCTGTTGCCCCTCAGATGTCAGTGTATGCTATAAAAGCATGAGAAATACATGAGTCTATACAAGGAAGCCCTGCCTTTCATTTCTATTCTCATACTAGGCCGTACAATACAGCGGTGGGCTAGTAACAATTTAGCAGCACCTGCAGCCAGAATAGAATTAAAACTGACTACTTGGCATTGGCTCTGCTGGCTTATGGCCTTAGAGAGAGTTGAGCTTGTTATTCTGTGAGTTTTGGTAAAGAGTTGGGATTTCCAACTGCTGCACAGAGTAGAAAAGGAGAGTGGATATATAATAACCCTGAACTGTTATGGAAGTACCATTGGGCAAAGTAAATCCTGGCCTCAGGGAAGCTAGAGGGCTGCTGAGGTAGGGAGAGGTCAAAGAGGTAAGTTGGCAGTGCAGATGATCTGATCTCAAGGGGACTGTCTGGCTTGCTTTGCAGATATGTAGTATGCAAAGGGTTAAAGCTGGGGATTGATGATGTCCGGGAGTATCTCTTCATGGTGAACATCAAACTCAACCAGCTGCGCAACTCCAACCTGGATGTGAATCTCGTTGTCCCTGTGGATGTGATTAAGGGTGACCAAGAATTCTATGACTACATGGTGCAGTCAAATGAAAAGTGAGTGCAGATGCTGCTAGAAGGAAACCTGCCTTCAGCAAGTCAGGCAGGCCCCACTTCACCCTGCAGGTGTTTGTAGTCACAGACAGCTTTTCACTCAGGTTGCTCAGTTATGAGAGACCTTGTAGGGGACACAATGATCCAGCAGGGGCAGAAATTCTGCATGAGATCAAAATGGCTGGTGAGCTTTTACCCGTAAAAAATTCCAGAGGTACTGACCCACAGTGATGGGAATGCAAAAGCTGTGCTGCCCTCTATTTCCCAGTGCCCTTCTGACCACCATAATGGCAAACTGAATTGTGACAAATCGGTCACAGTCATCCCATAGTTACTCCAGGCATCTTCAGCTTCATCATTCTTTGAATTTGGGTTGCTGCTAACCTGTTCTCTGATTGAAACCTGTTCTCTCTTTCAGACACTGTAAAGTTCAGATCAAGGCCCTAGCCAAAATCCATGCCTTTGTTCAGGACACGTGAGTATTTGAGGAGCTGGGCAAAATTACTTGCTTACATAACGGAGTTCAGAGGTCTCCTTACTTTTACCCACCTTTCCATGTTTCTAAAGGAAGAGGATTAGTGGCTTTTATTATTGTTAGTCTGGTTAGTGTCACTGCCTGTGCTTTGTTTGGAAGCATTGGGATGTGCAATGCAGCTTGGATACTGATTGGCTTGGAATGGTTTAGAATTGCTGTTTCTGTTTAGCACCCATGTGGAAAGGACCTACAAATAGACCGCCCACCTCCTAGTTCCCATAAATGGGGCCTGTCTGTCTAAGAACAGGAATGAATAGAGGAGTGGCATGTCAATTAAAGCCCAGCATGGGTACACAGCCCTCTCTATTAACGTGTATTATACTACTTAACTGCCCTAGTGGCATCCAGCGACGGCATGACATAATGGGATCAGATGCAAAGCTGGGAGGCAGAAACTTCTAAGAATTCATCCTAGTTCCAAAACCATTTGATTTTACCTTTCTGTGCTGGGGGAAAGGGAATGTGGGGAAAGAATGAGTTCATATTAGCATGGTACTTTTGAAAGCTAATGCCCTAACAATGCTTTTATAACACCTAGTTCAGCTCAGAAGGCCTGGTGGTAGTAGCCTCCTGTGGCTGGCTTTCTGCAGGGAGAGGTTGGGAAGTAAGTGGGTAATTGAGGTTCCGGTGCAGGAATTTGGAAGGGGGAAAACAGCTTTCCATTGAATGCAGCAGTCTGTTAATATCAAGGAGTGACATGCCTTGTTCTGAGGGGGCTGACAACTCTGAGCATATTAATGCTTTTACTGGAAGTCATCTGCTGGCTTTTACTTTGTCTAGGACCCTGTTCGAGCCACGGCAGGCTGAAATCCGGAAGGAGTGCCTCCGGCTGTGGGGGGTGAGTAATGCTGCTGAACAAGGAGGTCATGGATTGCTTTCCTACTCTAGTGCAATGTGGGAAGGGACAGGTTGAGTTACTCCAGCTGAGAGCATTAATGCATTTCCTGTGGGTCAGGACAAGGTTAGTATTACTGGGTACATCTTGGGGCAGTGCATGTAAAGATATATCAGTTCTAAAAGTGGTCCTGATAAGCGTGGGGGGAGGGAAGAGGGTGCAGGGTGGGGAGAGGGGTGGGGAGATGGCGGGGTGCGGCTGCAGCTCTGGTTCTGACTCTAGGTCAGAGATGGAGTAACTGCCTGCCCCCACACCACCTCTAGTCTAATCTCTACTTCTCATACTCAATTCCAAAATGAGGGATGTCCCTCCCCCTCCCCCCATGTTGGAATCGAGTAAACATGGCAGATCGTGAAAAGCTACAGTTTAGATCCCTTAATAAAACCCTCCGTCATATCCTGTAAGACATGCTATGTCCGTTTATCAGGCCCAGTCTGTTTTATGTACTTTCCCCCTTTACCTTGCTGTGGGCATCAGCAATGTGCATGCCAAGAGTTTAGCTATCAGGAATCAGAGTGTCTTTGTTGGAAGCGGAGCCTAGACTTTGCTGACCTTGAGAACATGACCATGCAGAACAGGCATGAGACTCGTTGTGAAGCCTTTTTTTGGTTTCAGATCCCAGATCAGGCTCGAGTTGCTCCATCATCATCTGATCCCAAGTCCAAGTTCTTTGAGCTCATCCAGGTGAGATCCTGAACTACCGTTTGTTCTGAATACTCGGGTGAACTGCTTAAAGTTGCTCATCGGAGCTGGAGCTGGGTTACATATGTTGTCTAGGACTTGCTTGGTGATGAGTCCTAAATAGACTGGTTCTAAATGTTGTCAGTCCTGCAGAGGTTTCCTTTACTTCCCATGGGAACAAATCCACAGATGGTGTTGGATGACCTCCCACTGTCTGGGAGCTGGGAGGGTAAGAGGGTCTTGGCAGGAGAGAACCTGCTGCTAGGTAAAGGAATATCAGAAGATGGTGCTTTTTTTTTTTTTCCTGAGCTCAAAGTAAAGCTTGGATTGCCCTGAGGTCCTTTCCTGCCCTCGGCTGTCCCTGTCTCACTAAGGTATATGCTACTCTCCTGTCACTGAAATGCTGAATTGTGACAGTACATGGTGAAAGCTGAGCTCTGTGAGGGAGTCAGTTGTTGCTGTCCCCCTTGACAAAGCTGTGAGCATTCCCATGTGTCCCTTATAGACCCAGCTCCCTTCCTCTGAGCATGTTTTCAATTAAAGTTTATTCTGCTTCTGAGCCCCAGAGGCATAGATTCCCTTCCATGTGCGGTGTGACTGGGGTTGGGGATGTGGGGGGGATGAGGGCTGCCCCTAGTGTAGCTGGGAAGAAGGAGAGGGTGATTTTGGCTAACTTCATCCTTCAAGACTGAAGAGAGAAGGAATCCCTTTCTGTCTAAAGGAATGCCTTCAGCTTTGAGCCCTGTTTCTGCACCAGGCATGTAACTAACTATAACCAAGCTTTCCTTTTCCCTCCACACCCTTCCTTTGGCACACCCTAAAGGAGTGCAGCAAACCATTGGAAATAGATGCTTGGTACAGCTGATTGCCTTTGTGGGCTGAACTCATGACCTTTGCAGCTGTCCAGTTTCTCTCAGGCCTTCTACTTGGTTTCTGTCTGATTTCAATGTGCTCGAAACCTAAGCTAAGTCCCGTTAGTACGAAAAGCATCTTTGCTTATTAGCTCTGCTAGAATTTGCTTTGATAACTGAAAATGTGGTCTTCCAAAATGCTGTGTTTTTCATAGCAGAATAGAGCCCAGATTCTTTACAGGGCTAGGGTTCTGACTTTGCTGTGACAGTGGGGTTTGCAGTCTAGCTGGGAGTGATGCGGTGAACAGCTGTGCTGTGGGGGTTCCAGTTTTTACTTCAAAGGGTGCTAATCAGCTGTGCAGACCTGCTACTGTCCTCCCTCTGAGTGGAGAGGTGGCACCTTTTATGGTAAAAGCTTGTCCTTACTTTAGAAATCCACTGTGATCTAACCCGAAGCAAATGACCTGGGTTCTGTTGTACCTTCGTCATGTCATTCATCTTTCTCCTGACTTTGTGCTTCAGGGCACAGAAATTGATGTCTTCAGTTACAAACCAACACTGCTCACCTCAAAAACTCTGGAGAAGATCCGTCCTGTTTTCGACTACAGATGTATGGTGTCTGGAAGCGAACAAAAGTTCCTGCTAGGACTGGGGGTAAGTGCCAAGAACTGTTGCACCCTGCAGCAGGAAGGTCCACTGGTTAATTATGCCACCACTGCTGTTACAATCTGTTTCTAGCATGTTGTTTTGTAATTCCACCCTGCTCTCTCTTGCCCTGGTAACACAGGGAGTCTCATCAACATTACCAAAGACTGATAGTTATTTCCTATTCCTTTTTTTCCTTCTGATGTCTATTTAATCTTCTGCTTCCTATGCTAAATAATCCTTGTCTTTTTTAACCTTGCATTGAAGAGAATGCTGCATCCACTATCTCAGCATCTGATTCTCTCTACCCCCAACCCCGTGGGTTACCTTCTTCATTTTGGTTCCTCTTGTGAGCATGTGATGAAACCTTGCCAAATGAACAGAGCTCAGATCAGTGTTCTGGTGCCTTATTACCGGAGATGTAAGCTTCTTTCTTGACAATTCACTTAGAGTGCCCACTGCTGTCAGCTGGGAGAACTTTGGGGATACAGTTCATTTAAGGCAGAGAGAGTTTTCCTCAACCCTGGATGAATTTCACTCTGCCTCATTCCTCTTCGGCCCACAGAAGTCCCAGATCTACACCTGGGATGGTCGCCAGTCGGACCGCTGGACAAAGCTGGACTTGAAAACTGAGCTGCCACGGGACACCCTGCTCTCTGTGGAGATTGTTCATGAGCTAAAAGGAGAGGTGGGAAGCCATTCCTTCTTATATAAGGGACATTGTCTGCCAGCACTTCCATTTCTTGCGAGTATTACATGGTAAATGTGGTGGTGCAGGGGCTTGGCTTGGGACTCCCAGGGATGCTATTTTGGGTTAAGCTCTTTTCTCCCTGTTCAGTCCTAGTGATATGTGGTATCCATAGATGACTTCTTGTCATGTTGAATGCATTGCAGCAAGGAACTGACCCTAAGGATATGGTCATACATAATATTTGTAGCACTTCCAGTAGTTTAAAAGTGCTATAAGAACTGAGCAGATGGATGATGTGCAGCATTATAGTGCAGGGGTATTAAACTCATCCAGCACTGCAGGCTGGATAGGGCCCACAGATTGGCCCCATGTGCTGTATATGGTGCCTGTGCCAGACTGGCCCTGCACACTGAGTCTGGTGTGCAGGATTGGTCTCTGGGCTTGATTTGAACTGGGTCCAGATTCAATATACAGAGTTGGTACAGTGCAGGCTCTGCATACAGCTTGCACCCTGGACTGGCTCTGCTGTGCAGTGCATGGGGCTAGGGCTGGCACATGGGGCCAGTCCAAGACTCACAAGCACTGCAGCCAGCTGATGATAGGCCTTTGCAGTTTGGCTCTGTCTCTTTGATACCCCTCTGGTAATGCTACAAACTGGCCTAAATGCCATAAAAAGTACCAGTGGATGAAGCAGCAGATGAGCTGGATTTCCTTCAGGTTATGTTTGATCTCCCTGGGAGTGATTGCAACCCTGTACAAGCAGACTTATGGGGTCAGCCTTGGGACTTCTCTGTAATGCATGGCCTTGCTTCACTCTGAATCCCACTGCCCTGGCCTTGACAGAGCAGATCCAGTGCTATAGCATGCTGAGCTGCAGGAGTGGAGTACTCTTGTGGGCACTGTAGTGACCCGAAGCTGGCTCTATACCAGGGGTGATGGACTCCGTAGAGAGTTGTCCAGCCCTTCCCAGATGAATAAGTATATTTGACTCACGTGGCTTTGGTGGAAGATAATAGGTGAGTAGGCCCCTGTGAATTTGCTCTGGACAGGGAGCCTACAGCAGAAGTGTGTGTCCTGTTAGCAGGAGGTGAGGTTTTTGCCTTCTGGAGTTAGTGGGGTGGCATAAGGGAAGGGGGAAGGTAGATTGCAGATGGTTCTGTTGTGTATAATGAAGACAGGCTACTAGCTAGAGCCTATAGAGTAACTTGCTGTGTTTCTTTCCCCAGGGGAAAGCCCAACGAAAAATTGGTGCTATCCACATCCTGGATGTCTTGGTGTTGAATGGCCACGATGTCCGAGAACAGCACTTTAACCAGCGGTAGGTGGGGCCTTAGGACCTAGCTACATGCTGAGAGCTGCCTTGAAACTCTTTTAGTGCAGGAAATAGGCTAATGGCAAAGCAAAGCCCACAGGGATCTAGGGATGCCTAGCTGATGTGGGTGAATAAGGCTGAGGCCTGGCACATAAGTGGTTCAGTCTGTTTTTCCCCACTCCCTCTGTGGATCAGAGAAGGCCTGATTCCCACCTTAGGCCTTGCCTATGCTACACAATTGCATTAGTTTTGCT